GAGTAGGGCTGGGCGGCATCTGTGTCCCCTCGCCGTCACTGGTGTTCTGTGCCCGAGCCTGACCGACCGGCCCCGTGCCCCGGGCCTCATGCTGACCTTCTCCTGTGCTTTGGCTCCGACAGATTCCCGGTCGGGTGGCTTCCAGTGGTCTTCAGTCTGTGGTGCACCGATGAGAACTCTCCTTTTGCTGTGAAGGGCAGACAATGCATGGCCGATCTACTCTGTTACAGTGGCTTTACTAGTGACGCGCCCCCCGGTCTAGCACCGACACGTTAACACCGGGAGCTCTCCAGGCCGCCCAGCCAGCGACGCCCGTGGGGGAAGCAAAACAAACTAACCCGGACAGACTCCAAAGCGCTGCTGCCACAGGGGCCGCACCGCGGGCCCCCCACGTGCACTCGGTTGTCACAGGCTGGGAAGAAGAGCAGAGTGAGAGGCAGTTGCAGAGAGAACCAGACTCCCGCTCCAGAGCCTTTCGGTTCCCCTCCAGCGGCCGTGCGCCCTGCTCCCTGACGAGCCTCCTGTAACCACCGATCTTCTACTTGGTTAAGACAGTTTTGTATCATTTTGCTAAAAATTACTGGCTTAAATCTGTGTGAAGAGACCTGTCTTTTTATTGTTTCTTTCTTGTCTGTTTCTGCGGTCTTCAAACTGATGTTGACTTCAACGAGCCCTGGAACAAAGGCTGGTGTGGAGCTTGTGTGTAGGGCAGAGCTAGTCAGGGAGCAGAGCGCGCGCGGGCGCCCGTCCTCTGCTTTGTGGTCCCTTTGTCGTGTGGTCCGCTGTGGAGAGGGGTTTTCTCACCGGAAGTGCTGTCCCGTGTAGACGTGCGTGTAAGTGACGTGTGTGTGCCGTGTGTCGTGTGTCCTGTGGCCTCATTACGCTGGTTTTGCCGTCACTGTCCCTTCCCCACCTACGCCAGATCGCCTGCGCGACGTGGTCCTCAGAGCGGTTGGCGGGCGCTGCGCACCGGAGTCCCCCGGACGCGGCGAGAAGGAAGCCGAGCACGGAAGACCTCGGAAGCCAAGGCTTTTTGCACTGGGTGTTGCTGGTCCCCCTGGAGAGGGTTTTGAACCAAGAGACATCAGGCCCCTCTTTGGGGTCACGTGTGGTTATTTTGGTGGTGGTGTTGCCTCAGTGTCTTTGGATTTGGGAGATTTTCTAAACCGACTGTAAATGTGAACAGTGTAGATTGGCCCTCGCTACGTGCATGAGTCCGTGTGCTCAGAACCCAGGACGCGGCCGTCTGCGCCCTGCCAGGCTTAACCACAGCGGCCTCGGGCCCCAGGGGATCCACCCTGAAGTGCCAAGAAGCTGGTGACTCAGCTGGCCGTCCAGGAGGGCGCAGCGTCACACGCTTCCTTCCACGACCTTCGTTGGGACGTAGCGAACCCCACAGGGGTCAAGAAGCAGGGCGGGGCTGAGTCTTGCAAGAAAGACCCTCGGGGCCACTGGGCCGCGGGTGGTTTTCCAGGACGCTCCCTCGTTTTGTAGCAGGCAGGGGCACCAGGCAGTGGTGGCAACCAGTAGCCGGGAGTCCCCCCCGCCCCCGCCGGCCCCCCTGTCGTGGGAAACAAGGTGCAATAATTGGTATCCGTGGGTACGTCCACCTCTCCTCCTGTCACCCTGCTGCAGAGTGCTCTGTTCGGAGACCGGGACGCTCGCAGCAGGTGAGGGGCCTAGGGGCGTCCATGTCTGTGTTTCTCCCCTTCCTGCCTCCTCGGGCCCCTAGCACGGGAGCGCCGGTCCCGGGACACCCCGACTGGTGCGTGCTGATGGCTGCTTTGGGAAGTCCTGAGCGGGCTGCTCTGTGTTTTGGGGTGCAGGGACCTGGCCGAGTGGGGCTGTGTTTCTGGGAGCGCAGTGCGAGCCTGGGCGGGTCAGGGCGAGCTGGGGGCTTCTGTTGTGACCAGGATCCTCTCCAGAGGTGGGCCTGCCCCTGCCCGCGAGGCGTTAGCAGCTGCAGCCCCCAACAGAGTGCTGGAGACGGCTGGGGCAGCCTTCCCTCGCTGCGCATCTGGGCTTCGACCCGAAACTGCTGGATGCTCGTTTGAGAGGTGGGCCCAGACCCTGGGCCCTCAGCTGTGCGGCCGGCCGTCTGTCCGTCCGTGCATGCGTGCACACTTGCTGCCCTCCCACTACAGGAAATGTAGTTGGCACGTCTGTATCAACCTGTGTATTGGTGGCCAGTCTCTGACTCGGCACATTTGTGTGATCACTGCATTTATGTGCTTAACCACCGTGTAAATAATAAACCCGTGATGACTTTTACCTTTCCTCCCCGCCCTCCACTGCTCTTTATTTCGTAGTCAGAGAGGTGTCGTTGTGTGTAGGTTAGCCAGGTGAAAACTGATCTGAGAAGGGGCATTCGTGTCCTCCCGTGGCCCAGCGGTGCTCTGTGTGTAAGCTGGTCGGCAGCAGGCCACAGGGACAGGCTGCCCCTTCCCGAGGTCCCAGAGCTGACGTCCGTGCAGGCCGTCCACAAGCGCCAGTCCCTTCTCCCCTGGCTTAAGCATCTTCGCGGGGCAGTCGCCTGAGCTCCGTGGGCCTCGGTGCAGCCCGGGAGGAAGTACTGTGCCTGCCTTGAGTACTCTGGGGAGCGAGCAGTGCTCCGGCTGCCACGGAGGGGCGTGCGTGGTTCCTGCGAGGCGGCTGCCAGCCCCAGTCCCCGCGAGGGGCCAGCATACATGCCCTGGGCCTGGGGTTCCGTTGTCGTCTGCCCGTCCTCACCCCCCACTCTAGCTCCATGGCTCCCGGGTGGGCTCATCCCTTTGTTGTACTCGTGGCCTTGGCTTCCCCCTCCTACTTGAGCTGTTGAAGCCCCCAGGGGCCTCAGACCCTCCTGAACAAGAGGGTGTGGGGCCGGCCCTTGGTGCCTGGGGGCGTCCTGGAGGGTGCGGGCCCTGAGTCCCTGCCCTTGGGCTCAGGCCCTCCCCTTCCTGCCACTGGCTGAGCCCAGTGGGCTCTGAGGCTCTGGAACAGGGCTGGGCTCTTCCTTGGCCTTCAGCCCTTCTCGCTTAGCTGCCCGCATTGGGAAGGCAACATGCAGTCTCCTTGCTGCTCACCCCAGCTGCCAACCCTTGCACCCAGCCAGAGCACCAGTGACACGAGCCCCAAGCTGCCCTCCCCTGTTCTGCCGGGAGGGGGCTGCAGGCAGGACGGGGACCACCGCACTGCCTTCTGCCCAGGGCCCGCCTGTCCCGCTCTTGGTCCCTCGGTGCTAGGAGACGCGCGCTGGCTGCCCCCCACCTTCCTGACGCAGGGCCCAGCCCCAGGGCCAGATGGCGGGCTCTGTGCTCAGCAGTATGCGCTGTCCAGTCCGCCTCCAGCTCCCGCTCCTCCAGGCCTCGCCCCCGCCCAGAGGGCTGTTTGGACCCCTTCTGGAACCCCCACACCCTGCTTTTTGTCCTGCTCCTAGCTCCGTCTGGCGGGCCCTCTGGAAGCAGCGCCCTCCCTGCTGCTGTGTCTGAGGTCCCAGGAGAGTGTCCGCCAGGGTCTGCGTCCTCAACGCCGTGATTTGGATGCTGGGAAGGGCTGGACAGTCCTTCACGACCCCCACTAGTGGGCCGCTGCAGGTCCTGGGCAGCGGCCTTCCGAAGCATCACTGGCAGATCCCCTGGGCACCCCCAGTTTGGGGCCCACGTGTGTGTAGCAGGTGCCCCCAGGTCTGACCAGGCTAGGGCCAACAGCTCGGGGTGGTTTGGGTGATGTGTGCGTGCCCCCCAGAGGGGGCTCAGCACAGGCATCCGCATCACTTGGCGGGAGGGTGGGCTTCAAGGGTGCAGGCCGTGAGCCTCCTTGGGCACGGACATCTGGAGGGTGAGGAACTGCCCCATCCATGGCCCCCCGAGCGCTGACTGCTCTCCGGGACTCCTGTGAGGGAGGAGGCCTCAGCCCATAGTAGCCACAGCTTCCTGAGGACAGCAGGTTCCATTTCTCCTATGTCAGGCCCAGCCGGAAACATCTGGAACCAAACCTAGGCAGACAAGACCGCCTGCTCACCCTTGGGCCTCGAACCCCAGCCTCCAGTCTGGGGCGGAGGTGTTGTTGATAATGTGGTGGGCAGGGGGCCTTGGGTCCACCTAGCATGTCCACCGAGGTGCCAGCTAAGGGACAGACGGACCCGTGTTCCTAAGGCCAAGGGAGGGTGGCAGGACTCTTGCTCTCCCTGCAGCACGTGCGTGTGTGCTTACGTGGACCCCAGCCCCCGGGCCAGCTGTGCATCCTGCCTCGATTGGAGCAACGCTGACATGCTGACTGGCTCAGAAGGGCTTGATACTAAGTGTCCCCAGAGCAGGACTGGTCCTCATGCTGGGCCAGGCCTTTGGGGACAGGTTCGGAGACCGGCGGGGACGCACACTTCTGTTGCTCCTGGCTGGCAGCAGGGACGCTAGGAGGGCGAGGGTCGGGGACAGTGCAGTGTGAGGGCCGGGAGCCAGGTGGAGCTCATGTGGCAGAGAGGGCCCTGCAAGGGCTATGCCTCGACCCCTGCAGCCGCCAGCACCACCACAGCCCAGGCCCCCAGCAGGGGGTCCGGGCAGACCAGGAAGGGCGTCGGGGGGCGCCCGGGGCTACGGGTCAGCGCTGCAGGCGGATGCCTGGTTCCTCCGCACAGCTTGAGGGCAGGTGGAGGCGGGAGAGCAGCAAGCCCCCTCGGGGGTGACATCTCTGGGAGGGACAAGATGTGAGCTTTCACCTGCTTTTCATTGCAGAGGAGCAGGGACGTGGCATCTCTCCGGCTGCACGCGGCCCGCCAGGGTGCCCGCTGCCGTCCCCAGCGCCCGCGACGCACCACCTACTGAGGCGGCCCCAGCGGCCTCTGACCGGGCTCCCAGCCACACAGGCCACCACTGGCCACGAGGGCAGGTGGGTGTGAGGTACTCGGGGCGAGGCCAAGCAGGGCTGGACGAGGAGGACGGGAGCAGATGCCCACCCTGGGCACTGACCGCGTAGGGCCACGATCCGCCAGTCGAGGGGTGAATAAATGGAAGGCAGGAAGATCATTTTCTTTAAACACACACGCAGTGAACTAGAATCACACGTATGTCTCAGCTTAAGTGCACATGCCTTGTAGGGGGCTCCCGAGCACGGCCACACCCCTGCAGCACGGCCCCCTTCCCTGCCAGCCACCGGGGCCGTGTGTGGACGCTGAGCCGTCTGGGCTCCAGCAGGGCAGGGTTCAGAACCAGCAGCTTAGAAAGCTGACCCGGCTGACAAGGGCCAGAGCCACTCTGTAAAAACCAGATTGTTGAGAAAAGGAATTTGGAGTGAACAGACCCCTACCCCACGTAGAAAAACACCCTAGCTCCTTGAAGACGTTCCTTCCAAGGTGGCTCCTCCCACACGCAGGTTTATTTCAGACCTTCAGAGGTGAAGGGAGTTTGGTTCCCCAGGCACCCCGCGAGGGGCGGGCTGGGGCGCCGTGGCGGAGACAGGGCAGGATGGGGCGCAGCCAGCCACGCGGGGAGGCCCCTTCCTGAGACCGTGCCGCTCAGCCGGCTCTCCCCAGCCTCGCCCTCTGACGCCCGCCGTATTGTCTCTGAAGCGTGGGTTTCTAGGTCCCTGAGCTCAGCGGTGGGCACCGGGCTGCTCCGGGGTCAGCAGGCTGGTTCCCTGGTGCAGACGGCTCGTAACCTCGCGGCTGGGCTTCACCAGTTTGGAATGACACGGTTCCCAGCCCACCACCTCCCCGGAGAAACACGGACGGCCAAGCTAGGCCTGTTTGTGAAATAAACATGAGCGTTGACGTCTCTGTCCGGTTCCATCACCCCCGCTGGCCTCCTGGGCTCAGACGCTTGTTTCTGGGGTGTGAACGACCTCCCCGTTTTTCTCGGGCTCTGCTTTCAGGAAGTGCTCCACCTCCCGAGAGTCCACCCTCACGTCCGCGGGGGGCTTGTGGCGCTCCTCTTCCTCCACGGCCGCCTCGGGCCTCTTCCTAATGCAGAAGAAGTTGCCCAGCACCAGCACGAGGGAGGAGGCCAGCACCTCGGCCCCTGCCAGGACAAACACGTACTGGTAGACGTGCGTTGCATCCAGGAGCTTGCCTGCAAGGGGGTTACAGCGTCAGCCGGGCTGAAGGTCACCCTCACGGTCACTGGCTACTTGTGCGCCACTGTGCTGTTGGGGACGGCCCAGGGGCACCCTGTCCCAGCCTCCCCGCCCCCCCAGGCAGCACGGACCGGGAGGCTTGGAGGAGGGCTGGAGCCGAGCAGGTGCAGGAGGCAGGCGCCCGGAGGTAACCTGACCACACAGCCTGTCACGGGAGGCCTCGTCACCCACGGCCCCCACAGGAACTGCCTGGGCCCCAGAAGGGCCCCAGGACCACGAGGCACAGCCCAGGTGCTCGCGGGGTCCCGTGGGGGGGCCTACAGAGACAGCTGGAGAGACCCAGGCCAGGCTGCCCGCCCAGCCCACACCCCAGGATTTTCTCAGCCTTCACAGAGAAGAGCAAAGGCCCAGCATAACCGAAGCTGGCCCACATGCGGGGATGGTGGCGCCCTCGGGATTCACGCGCGTGCCAGCCTTTGGCCCAGGAGGTGCGCGTGGCCGGTGTTCACTCCTGACACCTGCTGGTCACCTGGGCAGGGGTCCCTGCAGCTAAGAGCCCTCCCGCGGTGGGCCCCCTCCCCCAAGAAGGCTTGCTCCCTGCTGCGTCCCACCACTCACCTCCCGATGGGGGCCCAATGAGCACGGCGATGGCCTCCAGCAGCAGCACGAGGCCAATGGCACTGGAGAACTTCTGGGTGCCCACAATAGCCATGAGCACCTCGAACTGCAAGGCCCCCACCATGCCGTAAGAGATGCCGAAGAAGATGCAGAAGACCACCAGGCCTCCGTAGTCGCTGGCCGTGGACCCCGTGAGGTCAGTGAAGCCATTGAAGAACATGGAGAAGCTGAAGAGGTAGACGGAGTAGGGCCGCACCTTCTTAAGGCCTGTGATGAAGCCGGCGGTGGGCCGGGCAAAGATGTCGACGAAGCCCAGCACGGTGAGCAGGAAGGCAGCCTGGGTGTCGGGCACACCCAGGTCCTTGGCGTAGCTCACCACAAACACGGGGGGCACAAAGAGCCCCAGCACCATGATGGAGGCGGCCACGGCGTAGATGACAAAGCCACGGTCCCTGAAGACGCTCAGGTCCAGCAGCCGATGGGATGGCCGCTGGGGCGCAGGCCCCGAACCCGGCCTGGGCGCCTCCAGGGGCCTCATGAGCGCAGCGCACACGCAGCAGTTGAGCAGGAGGCCCCCCAGGATGAGGAAGCCGCCCCGCCAGCCATAGTGGTCCTGCAGCAGCTGCCCCAGTGGGGACAGGGTGCACAGGAAGACAGGGCTGCCCGCGGCTGCCAGCCCGTTGGCCATGGGGCGCCTCTTGTTGAAGTAGCGGTTGAGCATGATGAGTGACGGCTGGAAGTTGAGCGCCAAACCCAAGCCTGCGGGAGGGGCAGGCGGGTGAGGCATCATGCCAGCCTGCCCGGCCCCTCGTCCCTGTCCCCCGTTTTCCACCCTGAAGTTCTAGGTGAGGGTCTGCAGGTGTCCATGTGAGGGGACCCAGTGTGTGTCCAAAGCCCCTGTCCCCAACTGACATGCGAGGAGAGACCAGTGGGGAGCAGGGGACAGACTGATGCCAGGGCAGCTGCCCGCTCCTGAGAGGCCCTGCTCTGGGTACAGTGCCCCAGTGTCCAGCCACCTGAGCCATCGCACCCGGCCACAGAGGGGCCAGTGTGCCACGGCCTGCCCCGCCCCCGGCCGGGCCCCACTCACCGGTAATGACCCCAGTGGTGAGGTAGAGCTGGATGATGCTTCTGCAGAAGGACGCAGCCACCATACCCAGGGACGCCAGGAGGCCACCCGCGAGCATGACGGGCCGGCAGCCAAAGCGGTTCACGCACACGCTGCAGAGTGGGCCTGTGGGGGGCGGGGGCACAGGGTTGGGCCCAGTCTCTCCATGCTCACGGAGAGACCTGGCCTGGCGGCCGGGCCAGGGCTGGCCCCACCCTCCCCTGACGCCCCCGCCCCTGCTCAGCAGACACACCAGGAGCCCAGGGTGCGAGAGTCACACTCAGACGCCTTCCTGAGCAAAGCACGGTCCACAGCGAAATGTCCTGCACGGACTCAGCCTGTGCCCGGTTTGGCTCTGTGGGGAGCCACGGCTTTTGGTCAGGAGCCCCTCCAGAGCTCCCCTGCAGGCACCCTGGAACCCAGGCTGCAGACACCGGATGCTCCTGCCGGTCCCCCACTCCAGGCCTTTTTGAGTGTGAAGCTCTTAACCAGAGCTACCCTTGGTGAACTCCAGAAGTGACCACCGGGCGTGACAGCCCCGTACCTGTCCCGTACAACATGGCCAGCAGGATGGAGGAGATCCAGGCTGTGTCGCTGTAACCGATCCCAAACTCACGCATGAGCTCCTTGAAGAAGACGCTGACCGCCTTGGGGAAGGCGTAGGAGAAGCCCGTGATGACGAAGCAGCCAAAGAGAACGGCCCAGCCCCAGCCCCCATCAGGGGCCTTGATGCCTGTAGGGCCCTCGTCAACCACGGCACCACCCATGGCCAAGAGGGCGGGTTGTGCGTCCCTGAGGAAGGAAGTCAAGTTGACTCAGTTGTCTGGCCTCGGCCACAGCAGGGCCCTGCTGCCCGAGCTACCTGACAGCCCCGCTTCTGGCCCTCACCTGCCTTGGGCGCAGGGCAGGAGCATCTGGGCTGACGGGCAGCTGCAGCCTTTCCTCCCGCCCCCACTCAGGCCTGGCCTGCTCCCACCCAGCTGGCTCTAAAGGGCAGTGGCTTTTTTGGGCTCAGCACAGTCTCAGGTTACCTCCCGAGGAGGACAGACCCCAGCAGGACCATCAGCCCAGCCCAGCCCAGCCTGTCCTCCTGCCTGACCCCGTGTGGGGGAACAGGCTGCACTTTCTGTCCACTGTGGGCAGGTCCTGTGAGAGGGGGCCTGGGGCCCCACCTGGGGCGGTGTCCCTGGGGGCCTAATCTAGCGGGGCTCCTGATTCTGTCCTCTGTCGCGCTGCCCCCTGAGTGAGAGCCTGAGGGAGCGGCGCGGGCAGGCCGGAGTCGGGGGGCGGACAGTCCTTACCGCAGAGGACGCCCCCGTGCCCTCTGGCGAAGGAGGGGCTCCTCCCTCCCAGTTATCCACAGGCTGCAGCTCTTCCAGGAGAGCTGGGCGGGTGGGGGGAGGGGGGGTCTCTGCAGATCAAGGAAGGGGAGACCCCAGGCAGGCAGCAGGGCTGAATGAAGGGATAGGTGGGCAGGGGTGCGGCTTCCGTGCAGCCCGCTGGCGCAGACCAGGCTGCTAAGGCGAGGAGGGTGCTGCCTGCGCCCACTGTCGGCCGGGAACCCGCCAGCAGCCCCGGGCCCACTTCCTGCCCAAGCCACAGCTTAGCCCCGTTGAGGCACCGTAACTTGGAACGCTGGGACCAGACGTCCAGCTGGAGACCCCAGCCTCCCCTCTTCATCCCTCGCCTCCACCTGATCCTAGCACCGGAAATCCCCTGATCCCAGAGATGAGACTGGTGGCTGGTCCCCCCAGCTCACCGGACAGAGGCTGTTTCCAGAAGAGGGCCGCCTCAGTGCAGGTGTGGGGAAGGGAGGGCAGCCCCCGGGGCCTGGACCTGTTGGGTCCAGCCCGCTCTGCTGCCTGCCACAGCCTGGCCGCTCCCCACCGGCGGTGTGCGAAAGACCAGCTCTGGGGGAAAGAAGTCCCAATGGGGAGCATTTATCAGTTCTGTGGTGTAAACGCTCCACCTACCCGGATGTCCAGGAACGTCCCAACCAGGAGAGTGCACGGCCCCAGTGCCAGCCACCTGGCTCCACCCCCCGTCCCCTTTCCGACATCATCCTTGACCTTGCCAAGCCCCCTGGGCGGCCCATTTTCTGTGTGCGAGGCTTAGAACCTGGGGCAGGACTTTGGAGTGAGGACAAGGGCCTGAGCGCCCGGCCCCTGGGAGTGCAGGGTCACGGAGGGGGAGGAGGAGTGCGGAGAGTAACCCCCCCAGCCTCCACCCTGCCCCTGCCCCCAGCATCGCAGCCACAGGTGCCGCACACCTGTTGCCCGGGGGGGGGGGGGGGGTCTGTGCGGGGTGTCTGGGTGATTCCAGGCAGCAGCTGCTGTCGAAGAGAACCTCCGTTAGATGACGGGTCCCTAGGAGCCAGCTGGCCGCCAGGCCGACACAGCCCACTGGAGCAGAGAGCGGCCCCGGCCCCCACCCCCGGCCGGGCCAGGCTTCACGGCCACGGGCACCGCGTCTGGGAAACCCAGGAGACAAGCTCTCCTCTCCCTGGACTCCCAGACCCCATGCCCTTTGGCACCGCCCCCCCACTTCCCACCGGCTCTCCCAAGTGCTCAGAAGGCTCGCGGACCGGAGAGCAAGATGCAGGGTGTTACTGAGGCCAAGGGCTGCGCAGCCCCTGGGGGGCACAGCTGAGAGGTTCACGGGGGCACCCGGACCAAGGAAGCCCCTGGTCCTCCTGCAGACATGCCCACAGCCCCCCCAGGTGGCCCATTTCTGCATCTAAGGCATCCCTGGAACCCGGGACTGGACTCTGCCTGGATAGTCTGGCCTCACCCCCGGGTTCTGTCCTCCAGATCCCTGCATCAGACTGCAGCCATGTGCCCGAGGCTGGGACGGGACAGGGGGGCGAGCGCCATCCCACAGCCAAAACACACGGGATGTGGACACCAAGCAGAGGTATCCCTTACCCTCGTTAGTGTCAAGCTTCAAAGGTGGCCGTGGGGGCCCCGAGGGGCTAGTTGTCTCGGGTTGTGGGTTTATAGACGTTTCCTCATTTTTTAAAAAATAAAGTAGCCAAAGCAGGAAGTGTGTCTGAAACCAAACATTAGCAGCAGCTCAGCTCTGTAACCCCAGGGTCACGGAAGAACCCGGGGCCCCCGCTGAGACGTCCTTGGCTGCACCAGCCACAGCCGGCACCAGAGGAATGGGAGCCCCCAGCCTCTGATGCCCCGTTCTCTGCTCATCTGCTGCTCGCCAGGGCTGGACCCCCCCCGCCCAGAGGCTGCCCTGGTCTTCAGGAGACAGATGCTGGCCACCCGTGCGACCCAGGACGTCCTCCGAGCCAGCACCCAGGAGGGTGAGGGGTAGAGAAGTAGGTGCCACGGCCTAGCTCCCACCCACCCTAGAGGCCCCAGAGGCTCTTCAGACACTTTCCTCGCAGCTAACCCCCAGCCTGGGGTGCCAGCCAGGCTAAAACCCTTCCCGTTGCCCACACCAGCCCGTCCTCAGTGAGGTTTCTCAGGAAGGGAAGGAAATGGGTGGGGCCTCTAGGTTTGGAGCAAAAGGGTTTCGCCCAGGAGGGCTTTGCAAGGGGGGGGGGGATGTAGAAACGGGGCTGGGATTTCCAAGAGCAAAATGGCCTTGTCAGCCCAGCTCGCCCTGGGGGAGGAAGGCCGGCAGAGGCCCAGACTGGCGGATGTTCTCAGGACAGCCCTGCCACCGGCCCTCTAGAGCCAAGATGGGAGGCGTGGCCCCCTCTGGGGGTGTTGGGGGCCCTCGCTGCAGTGCAGGGGGAGGTGGTGGCAGCATGTCTGTGGGTACGCACCAGCCAGCTGGCCTCGTGATGACATTCACCCTCCCTGGGAAGCATGCGAACCACGTCCCCAGCCCAGAAATAACCCGCCCTCGGGGCCTCAGAAAGCCGATCTCCCTGGTGGGGTGTGTGTGTGTGCCCGCTTGTGGGTCAGGTGAGGCTCCGGGAGCTGCCCCCGCCCCCACTTAACCAAAAAGGTCCCACCGCCCCAGGCAGCTGGAGCTGAGCAGAGGTGGGCCCAAGGAGGCATGTGCACGGGGATCCCTGGGAACACCCCCTGCAGCGGACCACACATTGGAGGGGCCCTTGTGCTCTCCCAAATCAAGGGCTTCTGCTAGCTTCTCCCTCAGCGGTCCACTGGCTGGCTGACCCCCAGCTGGGGTCAGCACTCCAGACCCCAGACCCCGAGCCAGCCTGGCCTCCTGCCAGGCCTGTTCTCCAGCATCACCCCCTCCCCAGTGTCCCCTTTCTCTGCCTACTCTACTCAACCGGGTTTTGAAATGCCCTGCCCCACCCGCTGCATCTCCACCCGGAGGGCTAGTGCAGAACTCACACAAACAACCTGACCCCTCACAGCCCTGGCCTTGGCCAGCCCCACATCTTCTTGGCTTCACCCATTTCCAGAACCCCTCCCGCGGCTTCACTCCAGGCTGTAGACCCACTGCCGTCCCCAGTGCACTCTGGCCTGCTCCCCATTAGACCTCTGTGCCAGAGGTCCTCGCACCCACCTTGGATCCCGGGTCTCTGGCCTGTCAGGTTCCAGGGCAGGCCGTGTCCCCTAGGTTCAGTGTGGTGACCTCCAACTCTAGAGCCTGTGGCCTATCCCAGGTGCTCTGCAGGTTCCCCTTCTGAGGAGACTGGCCAGTTATCTAAGCAGACTTCCAGTCCTTGGAGACCAGCTCCAGGTGGGCGGGGCATGAAGGGGCAATTGCATTCCTTCCTGGACTCTTCCTGCACCAGGAGGCCTGGGAGACACGCCTGGGCACCAAAGAAACAGCCCCATTGTGGCTAGCACCTGGCTTCGTTTGAGCCCCGAGGTCCCTGGAGCATAAGGGGGTGGTGGATGGACATAGGAGTGCCATGCCTTCTGGGGGAGGAAGGGCCCCCCAGGCCCCCTTGCTTCCTTTCCCCACTGCCCCTGTTGTGCAGACAGGTACCAGCCTATCGGATGTCTTTGCCTGCCCAGGGCTCAGAAAGCACCACTGGTCAGCGGGCTTGTTCCCTTCCCAGGGCCTGTGCAGGACCCCAGATGCCGCCCCCCCCCCCTCCGCCAGGTGTAGAGCTGGGGCTGGAAGGGGGTGGGCCTTGGGCACTGCCCCAGGCATGATCCAGGCCTGTCAAGCCCAGCCTGGGCCCTCCGCCCCACTTCCACTGACCACGAAGCCCCCCGGGGCATGTCTAGTGCCCTCAGGGCTCTCGGGTGGGCTCACATCTTCTTGCAGAGGCCAGTGGAGCAAAAATGCTGGCTTCATGCGTCAGACTGGACGCTGCACTGGGGCAGCCCCAGGTGACGAGGAGGGGGCCATGGGCCCTGTGGGCGGCCCTGTGGGCAGCTGCGGGCTTGCCGGTCAGGGCACCCTCCTCTAGAAGGCCCAAAGGGGCCAGGGAGCAGTAGGGGCTGGAGCAGGCCCCGGGCAACCCCCTCCAGCCCTGGACCCTGCCCATCACATGGCCACCTCGTCCCACCCCTCGACTCGCTAAGGCCAAGGCCAGGAGGGGCCTCTGCATCAGCAAGCCCGCTCGCCAGGAAGGGCCCCTCCCACCGCCACCCCGGTGGGCCTGGTGGGGCTGGGGCGGTAGAGACGGGGAGGGATGTGGGAAGGGAGCAAGCTCCGCCCGCCCCGGCCCAGCGCGCTCGGCTTGGCCGAGGGACGTGGGCGACGTGACCGCGCCAAGGGAGGAGCCGCCACCGTATTGCCTGGAGTAGGCGCTCGCCCTGTCTATTACCGTATAGGCCCGGCGTGCGGGCCGCTGGGGTCAGGGAGCTCCGGAACGGCCCTGGGCGCTAGTGGACGCCCGTGTCGCCGAAGGAGATCCTGCGGCCCCTCCCGCGGCCCCCCAGGGCGGGGCCGACCTCATTTTCCCTCCGCAGGGGCCCGGCCGTGTGGGCGCCAGCTCGGGCTGGGAACGTTGACTGAGAACTCGCGTCTGCAGGAAGGCTTCCCCGCACCGCCCATTTCACGGATGGGGCCGGAAGGTCTGTACCTGCCCGGCGGCACTGTGCGGAGTCCCAAGCCTCTCCACTCCTGGCCCACCGGCGGTGCCTCCGATGGGCTGGTTGCTCTGTGAGGCAGTCCTCACCCTACTGGACTCCCAACCTTGGAGTGGCACTGGCCCTTCTCCTTTACGCTGGCCAGGTCACTGCCGGGACCCTCCCTGGAGCAAGTAGGGCCTGGCCCGGGGGACCGCACAGGCCCCCCTTTACACACACTCCCTGGCTACTGTCCTGGAGAGCACGAACCCCCCTCTGTTGCTGCCCCTCCACACTGAGGTTCTAGCTGGAGTCCGGCAGAGCCAGGTTGTCTCCCGAGTACCAGGCCCTGCCCAAGGTCACAGCAAGTCGCTACAGAGCCTGCCCTGGGACCAGGCCTCCCATGGCCCAGCCCGGGCTCAGCGCACACCACACGCCCCCGGGCAGGAGGCTCCACACCTGCCTGAGCCACCCGTGCCCTCAGAGCCCTTCGGGGCAAGCCTCCTGCCAGAGGGGCTGCTGCCCAATCACACTGCCCACCCACAGAGTGATGGCACGCTCTGCCCCTCACACCCAGTGTGCACTTCGGATGTGCAGCTCAGTGCCTCTGGGCTACCCCTCTGTCCGTCACCTAGATGCCAGGCACCCCCAGTGGCCATGACCTGACTGCTTCCCTTCCGCTCACAGCCTGCCGGCTACTGGCCTCATCCAGCATCCAGGAAGGTATATGGTCAACCCACTTTCCTGGTAAGTAAACTGAGGCCCCGCCTGGCTTCCCATGGGCCAGGGGCCTGGCGGGGGGAGGAGGGGTTGAGACGAGCCAGGGTGTCCAGCCTGATTCAGAGGGAGCCCCCTACCTCTCTGCCCCGGGCCTGGGCTGGGAGCCGTCGCCCGAGGGCGGGTGTGGGACGGCGAGTGTTTGGGCGCGGCGAGAAGCGGGAGGAGGTGAGGGAGACAGAGGCCCGCGGGCCAAGACACCACCACCGCCCAGCGCCACGCCGGGAGCGCACGTGCACCCCGCGCCCTCGGGAGGAAGGAGCCCGGCCAGGCAGCAGCCCCATCAAATACCGTCCGCCGCCGAGCACAGAGCTCTTCACACGCGCGACCCGGCTCGGCTGCCCCGCGCATCCGCCTCCTGGCCGGGGCCCAGCCCCTGAAGGCACGGGGGCCGGGTCCGAGGGCGGGGCCGGGGCGCGGCTGGCTCCCCGGAACCCCTCGGTGGTGGCC